TGCCACAGGAAGAAACCTGAGGTTGAGGGGCATTGGACAGAAAACTCTAGATGCACTTGACAGTTGCCACTGCCTGTGGCTCTGAGAAAGGGATGGCGGACTTCTGCCCTCTGGGGCCCCTTGTCCATTTGGGGGCCCATGAGGATGATCTTTCTTTGGGATTAAAACATTATAGATAGAGCAGGAAGAAACAGCTCAATCAGTAAAATGCCTGCTGCACAAACATGAGAACCCGAGTTTGAATCCCCAGCACCCACGTCTGTAATCCTAGTGCTGGATACACGTGTGGAGATGGATGGATCCCTGAAGCTCACTTGCCAGTCAGCCTAGCTAAATCAATGTGCTTCAGGTTCAGTGAGACCCTGTCTCAGAAATAGGATGGAAAGAAATCAAGGAAGACACAGGAAGTTGGCCTCTGACCCTTACACATGTGCATACACAGGTATGCACAGTTGTGAACAAGTACATACATACCAAACACACATACACAAAATTATGGATGATGGACTTAGAAGCAGCTCAGTAGTACATTTGCCCAGAACGAGCCTTGTTCAATCCCCAGTACCACAAAAAAAAAAACAACAAAATAATATGACTAATGAATGGAATCCAGTTGTCTCAAGGGTCTTGACCAACACGATACTCTGTCCTTGACCCTGAAAACCAAGGACAAGCCATTCCCTAGGGCCAGGTACTGGGTCCTGTCCCCTAACACATGCCAGATGTTCTGATGCTGAAAGGCACAATAGAGCATCTAAGCTCCAGGTCTGGAGCCAGAACAAGTTCTACCTCTTCTCCTCGTTGCACAGCAGACCTTGCACCTTGGTCTCATCTGAAAAGTGGGAGTGATGACACTGGTTACCTCCCTCTTGCCACTGCCATGGAAATAAAGTGTGTCCCCACCTAGAACATTGTGTAGAACATCATGCTAGGTACAGCTGAGCTATTGTGACATCCCTGTGTTACAGGGCTCTGATGAGGTAGCTTGGAGAGGTTAAGCAACAAGCCTAAGGACACACAGCCAGCAGGTGGCAGAGCTGGGAGTGGGCCCCAGTGCAGGGTCGTGCTTGCCCTTGGCCCTACCCACAGGCTGTGTGAATAGCACTGCAATTCACAAAGGGGTAAACAGCCAAAAGCGACTTGAGCACAGAGGCAACTTTATTGCTGAAAATCAGTTCTACTCTCATCCTACAGCCATTCCAGGGCAGCCTTCCAATGCCAGGCACAATGTGCTCAGTGCATACAGATGAAGCATGTGGCTGGAGCTGTGGCCAGGCCGGCCATGAAATTCATGGGCAGCAAGAGGGTTGGCGATTCACATGTGAGAATCCAGCTAGAGGGTGCAGGGAAGGTGAGCAGGTGATAAAAGCATGCTAAACCCCTAAGGCTAGGAGACCTTCATCATTTAGAGGACTGGGGATAGAGGACAGAGGGAGCATAGTATAGCTCAGGGTGGGCAGGGCTGAGCTATTTGAGGAGGCAGGAAAGGCAGTCAGAGTTTGCGGAGCCCTGGGTGTTTGACAGGGCTACCTTGGGCAATGGGGAGCCTCTGAGGTATGTGAATGGCAGGCAACTATGATCTGAGTCAGGCTGGGAGAAGTTTCCCTGCCAGAAGGCAGAGAATGAGGGCCAGCAGCAGTGGCTGCACTCTCAAGGGACTCTGGGGATGCTGGGGTATGCCCAGGTTTTATGCCCTTTACTCTCCCAGGCTTATTTAGTGAACAGCAGCCATAAGCCAGGTGCCATGTGGGCCATAGCCAAGTCACCTACACAAGGCCAGGAAGGGGAATTATTACTGAATCACTCAAGGGTCAAAAAGTTGCCCAAAGTCACACAAATTGAGAAGAAACCTAACAGTACCTGGGGGTTCATATGTGTCTCCAGAGACCTGCCTAGTCTTTAGTGGCTTCAAGTTCCTGTGATGGGTTGAACCCTATGTCTTATACTGGAACTCAGGATGTGGCTCAGTCCCTAACAGAAGCAGGTGTTTTTGTACCTCTGGATTCAGTCTAGGTGTGAACTCCCAGGCCAAGGTGCCCAAGGACCAGGGGAACTGAAATGTGAGAGTTCTGTTCTGCTCTGGGCTCTTCTGCCTCCTCCTGTCACTTGGCTGAGGAGGGGGTCCAGGGACATATGGTCCACCCTGACTATTCTATGGGGACTTCAGGATGGGGAGTTCCTTGGAAGGTCTTTGAACCTCCCATAATGTCTGGACAGCTCCTGCTTCTCATCTTGCTGTCCCTCTTTCCCTGAGGACTCTCCTCTTCACTCTCTTTCCAAACCTTTCCTCCTATCTGCCAACAATGACTCGGGCCCTCATAACTGCTCTCTAGGGCCTTGTGCTGACCCAGCCTTCACCCCTATCTACCCCCAGAGCACCCCTCCCTATTCTGCTTATCTTGAAACTGGCTATTAATCCATCCATGCTTCAAGAATCTTCCATGGCACCCTTATGGCCAGCCAAACTGCATATACATGCTCTTCTCTATCTTTCTACTAGTCTCAGTCTTTCCAGATCCATGCTGACCATATTGTGGCCCTCCCTGGGGTCCCCCAATATCCCCTCAGCACCTTAGAACATTGTTTCAACAGAAATAGAATGTAGGCCCCAAGTGCAACTTTATATCACCTAACAGTCATAAACAGTAAAAATGGGGTCAGGGATGTAGCTCAGCAGGTAGAATGCTTGTCTAGCATGTGTTTGATCTCTAGCACCACATAAACGAAGTGTGGAGGTATACACCTGTAGTCCTAGCACTCCAGAGGTGGAGGTAGAAAGATTAGAAGTTCATGGTGAGTTTGAGGCCAGTATGGACTATGTGAGACTTTGTCTCAAAAAACAAAAGGAAAAAAAAATTTAATTTATGATCCTTTCAACATGTGATCAACACTAAAAATATTATTGCAGTATGTTATGGCTCTTTTAAAAATATAAGCAATCACATCTTAGGATGCAGCTCAGGGATAGAGTGCTTGTCTGGCATGTCCGCTCCTTCCATTTAATTCATCTTGGGATCACCTACAATACCTAATGCAATAGGGATGCCACACCGAGAATTGTCAAACTGTATTAAGGACCAGTGACTGTAAATGTTCCATACCAATGAAACTTCCTTTCACAGATCTTCCTTTGTTGTTGACTGAACTCATAGATGTAGAAGTTGGGGCCATAATGGGCTAAGATGAGGTTGAACTGGAGCAGTGTGGGCTCCCAATCCATTATGGTTGGTATCCTAAAAACAGGATGTTTGGATAAAGGTGCACACATTCAGAGAACACCATTTCTGCAATATGTTACCGACAGCCTCTAGAAACTAAGAGACCCAAAATAGAATATCTGTTCCCTCACAGCCTTAGAAGGAATCAGCCTAGTCAACCTTGGTCTCAGACCTCCAGCCTTCGGAATGGAGACAATACAATAAATGTCATTTAAGTCACCAAGCCATGGTACTTTGCAATAGCAGTCTTAGGAAGCCAGTACCCTTAGTTCAAGGGAACCAGTTTCATCTGTAACTTGGGATCATAAGGTAAACAATAAAGAGCTAAGCATGGTGGTGCACACTTGTATTCCCAGCACTTGGGAGGTAGAGGCAGGAGGATCAGAAGTTAAAGGTCATCCTCAGCTACATGGCAAGTTCAAGACCAGCCTGGGATACATGAGAGCCTATCTCTAAAAGCCAAATAAAATAAAATTTAAAAAAGGTAAACAGCAATAAGAGCTAACATTTTGAGTATAGCAGTCCCATTATCTGAGGGGAATCAGTCCCAACACCCCCATGAATACCTAACCCCACCATTCACATAAAATGGAACAGCACAGAACCTGTACATGTCCTCCCCACACTTTCAATTTCTAATAACTCACAGTACCTAGTACAGTGTAAACACAATGTCAACATTGTTTTGTTGTGCAGTTTGGAGAACAATGACTAGAGAAACAGCTCTGCAAGTACAGAGGCGATTTTCTCTCCAACACTTTCAAGTCATGGAAGGTTGAATCCACAGTTGTGGAACACTCAGGAACTTTGCACAGGCGTTCTTTTGGGGCCCTTTCCCACCCGACAACAGTATGCTGCCAGTAGTATTTTCCCCATTTCCTTTTGCAAATGGGGAAACTGGATGCAGAGAGGTTTTGTGACTTGCTTATGGTCATTTTGCTGATAAGACAGCCAGGACTCAAAGTATCCACTTCCCAGTGAGACAGTTCATTCCTGAGAGCCCCTTGGGCAGGGCTGGGATGAGGAAAGAATGAGCTCAGGGCAAAAGTGCAGGAGGGCACCACGGGTCTCACGTACTCAGTAAAGAGCAGCATTGTTGGGACGTTATGTCCAGCCTTCAGGGCCCTGGCATACACTGGGCATCTTCGTGGAGACCAACCTCAAACCAACCTCAGTTCCTGTGATGTTGAGAACTTCCCCAAGCCCCTGCTGAACCTGCCCAGGTATGACTATTCTGGGGAAGTTTCTATTGAGTTAAGTTTTGCTTTCCCTTTAGTCATGCAGAGAAACAGAAAGTTTTACCTGGTGAAAACATGACCACAAGCTAATGGGTGAGAGGGTGGGAAACCTTGGGCTTCAAGGTGAGCAGGTGGCCGGCCCTAGGCCAGAACACAGTCTGAAGGCAAGATCTCCTTTGGCCCAGGAAGCTCTGGCCTCTGTGTCAGCACCAGCTCAGTCTGGGAGCCTTATCTCTCAGGCACACCAGCGCAGTGTGGTGTAGAAGAGAGGAACATCAGGTGGGACTCAGTTTCTCCATCACAACACCAGGAAGTTGGACCAGATAGATGCTCTGAAGCTCCAGGTAGGAGCCTATGGTTTCTGCTGGCAGGAACCTTCCCTTAGGAGCTATGATGGGGACACCCTAGAGTTTTTACCAAGCAATGTGGGGAATCTTCCATGGTAGAGTGATAAACCACAGACCCTAGTAAAAGGAGCTAGGGAGGTGGAAGAGGGTCCCATGCAACCCCTGCTGGCTTGGGTAGCTCCTGGTCTTTCACTTACCTCTAGCCTGGCCTCCCCAAAAGGCGTAGCCCTTGCCATGTGCTGAGGTGTGATCCCGCTGACCTGGGTTCTGTAATCAGTGATCTCTCCCTCAGGCCGGATGTACTTGTCATACAGCACTGTGCCACAGAGGTTCACAATGCTGCAGCGGGCCAGGCCACTCACACAGAGAGGTCCCAGCCCCACCATCTCACAGTCCATGGCCACCACCTCTGGGCTTCCTGCCATGTTCCTGGGTGACTCTCAGACAGTTCTGGAGGGGCAGGGGGAAAGCAGGATGTCACTCAAGGACCAATAAACCTCCAGACATCCTGGGCCACCACCTAGCCAGCCAACACCCTCAGCCTTGCCCTTTGTCTTGTGAACAAAAGTCTCAGAAAAGTCTAGCATCTTGAACTGAACTTCCTGCAAGGTTGACCAACTGATCAGCACTTCAGTGACTGTGGAGAGTTTGGAAAGTTGCAGATCCAGAGTCTATCCACAATTTATCTTGGATACTGTTTAGCCCTTAAATAGCTGGTCCTGGCCCACCTGTTTCAGAATTAACTTCTTGTGACCAACCAAAAGGCTGAGTGTCATCAGATGGCATCTGAGGCCTGTAGCTGAGATTTCTCTTTGCTGCTTACTCTTTCCATTAAGTATTTGAAAAGGGTCTTGATTTATGACTTTTCTTTGTTCTGTTACCATAAAAACTTCATGAAACTGTTACCACGCTGGAACACGGAATTTTGGAACATGGAATTTGGGATAACCTGAATCTGTGTCATACATATTTGGCCAGAATAAGCTATCTCTCGTCCCCTTTGAAGTGAGAGTGGTTTCCAATGCCATCCAGCAACAGGGGAAGCTGGCCTCTTGCCATCCCACCCGGCTTCTCTATGCTGTGGGTCCTAGGTCCTTCTGGCCCTGTCTGCTGCCTAGGGACCAAGAAACCCCCCTCCCACTGCCTCCCAGGCTGGGCAGCTGTGTGCTTCCCGCTCTCACCTGCTTTCTCTGTTCCCTGGGCTCTCCTCTGCCTCTCTGTTGCCACTTCTCAGTCACTCTGGGCAGTGACTCATCTCTAACTCAAGCCCGGCATCCCGACCCCGTTTCAATTTCTGGTTTGTTATCAAGGGAAGTCAGGGGCGGGAGGCTGGGCGTGTGGGTTGGGCCACTCCATCTCCCCAATGCCGCCAGGTGGGGATCTGGCAGGCTGAGTCGGGGCTGGCTGCCTCTGGGTGTCCCTCCTCTGGCCCTGCCCTCCCCCACCTAAGATGACGTGTCTGACGTGGATGGAGTGGATTGCAACATCTTTCTTTGCTTTCTCACTCTCCGCCCAGAGAATAAACATCTCCAGGATTGGAGCCTGGGGAATGTCCCCAACTTCTGGGATCTGCTGCCAGTCTCATACTCTTGTGAGGTCTTCTGAGGGCAGGGCGAGCTGCTCTGGGGACATAGGGGCTATTAACTGGGAAGGGCAGACGGTTGGGCTAGGAGAGGCCCAGCCCTTGCCTCTGTGAGCACAGGGGAGGTTGTGGGGAACCTTTACTGGACTCTACCAGTTGAGTGCCTCAGTGGGCCCAGTCTCAAGCTGGGACAGTTTAAAGACAAGGAGAAGCAGGCACTGAGCCAGCAGCCAGGCCATTCTTCGTCAGGGGCTACACTCCTGGAATGGGACTCCAGAGCTTTTAGGATAGTGCTTAATGTGCAGGGAGCAGGGAGCACTCTGTTTTTTGATAAACAAATGAGTTACAGTTTGGTCAGAAAGGTAATCAGCTTTCTAGGAGGAACACTCTCTTGTAATCCTGGAATGAGGGAACAATGACCAGGGGAGAGCCAGCCCCACGTCCCTGCGCAGGTCTAGGAGGCTGTGATGGTCCCTGCTATCACAGAGCTTTGTGGTTTGAAAGGGAATTTCCCCAGATCCGTGGTGTCTCTGCTAAGCCAGATGGCTGACTTTAATAGACCTCAAAAATCAAATATTGGGGTTGAGGATATAGTTCAGTTGGTAGTGTCTGCTACACACACAGGAAGCCCTGGGTTCAATCCCCATCTGGGCATAAACCAGGCATGGTAGTATCCTGTAATCTCAATACTGGGGGACACAGACATCCTCAGCTACACAGCAAGTTCAAGGCCAACCTGGTCTACATTGAGACCCTGTCTTAAAAAAAAAAAAAAATCCCAGTCAGGCATGGTAGCTCATACCTTTAATCCCAGAACTTGGGGGACTGAGGCAGGTGGACCTCTGAGTTCCAGGCCAGCTAGAGCTATAGTGAGATCTTGTCTCAAAAAAAAAACCAAAAAAACAAAAAAACAAAACTTTGTTCTAGATTAGCTTCCACTATGACCTCATGTACCATTGTCACAGCTCTTTTTTGCTTAAGAATTTAGTGATTTTCTGTTGCTAAAAAAAGTCAGACCTCAGGGCTAGAGAGATGGCTCAGCAGTTAAGAGAGCTGGCTGCTCTTGCAGAGGACCCGGGTTCGGTTCCCAGCACCTACACAGCAGCTAACAACTGTCCTTAACTCCAGTTCCAGATTTGATGCTCTCTTCTAATCTCGGCAGGCACTGTATGACATGGGTGTGCTTACATACATGTAGGCAATACACTCATATACATAGAGTAAAAAACATTTTTTAAAAAGCCACACCTCAAGTCTCAGGGTCTCCCATCTGTCCCACTTGCCCCCCCCCACCTTTTTTTCCCCTCATTTGTGCTTTGCTCTGACCCATGGCCTCTCTTGTAGTTTAAATCTTTTTTCTGGGTCCTTGTTAATGTATGCCTGGCGACTCCTTCCAGGCCATCAACAGGCCTCACACACCTATGCCAGCATGCTCCCCAGCTCTAGGCCCAGTGGCTAGACGAACCAGTAAGGTCAGGCCTGTTCCAGATGGGAGTTCTGCAACAGGACTATTACAGTTCATTCCAGACATGTTCATGGGTCTGGGCATTTGTTACCCAGCTGTTTTAAGACTTCCTTTTCTGGGCAATATAAAAATGTCTACCTTCTCCCAACAACAAACCAAAGTAGGACTCAGGAGATCGATGAGCTTATAGTGCTTACTGAGCATGGGTGAGGAGGCTACTTACAGGAGCAGATGGACGACCCCAAAGCAGACACACTGTGAAGCCTTCAGCCTGCATGGATGATGGCTTTCCTGTAGCTGCATAGATGAAGCTTCTATTAAACTTCCTCAGGCCATGTACACCTGAGACCCCATGCAATCAGGGCAGAACTGCCTACAAATGGATGGGTAGAGCGGTTGGAATCTTAGGTGAGGATTCACCAACCTTCCCTAACCTTCTCCTTCCTCCAAGAGGGAACATCAAGACTCATCAAGATCAATGGCTCCTGATGGGCTCTTTCAAACAGCCCAGCTGATCTGATAAAGACGGCAGCTATTTTGCTTGGAGAACAGTGTTCTACATCTGCCCTCCAACATTCTGGAAAGCTCTCCCACCAGGTCATCTGCCTGGTTTGCTCCCCCTCCAGCTCTCTCTGTGTAAGTGCACCCTCCTGTTCTCATCCTACATTTATGGTTTAAAGTTTCATGTCGCCCAGGCTGACCTTGAACTCACTATGTAGCCAAAGCTGACCTTGAACTAATACTCCTCAAACTCCCAAGTGCTGGGATTACAGATGTGAATCACCACGCATGGCCTTACCTTTCCCATAGAAAGCACAGTTAGAAACACTGCATTCTACCTGCTCACTTGCAGGACTTAATAGTACATCCCACACATGTTCACGTCTGGACATTTGCTACCCTGCTGTTTCAAGAATTCCTTTTCTAGGGACATATAAATATCTAACTCAAAGCTGGGCCTCAGCACCAAGACCCCTGCCCAGATTATGCTGAATTTTCACCCAAGTATACAATGTTCTATTGGACCCAGTCACTGGTGACTAAACAGCCTTCAAGAAGCCCTGACCCCAGCTAGGGGGTTTCCTGATGTTCCCAGCTTTACCTGATAGCACCAATCAGCAGGACAATCCCACAAACCTTGTTGGATCAGATGACAGCAGAAGAGTGAGTCACTCAGGACAAACTTATTAGCCTTCCAAAGACATATCCCATCAGCTGCCCACCTATCTTGACTATAGTTGGCAGGCTACCACTAAATGGCTCTCTGAAATCCCCACTGAGACCTGGGCACATATGTGGACAACTCATGCTATGACTCTGTAATAGCTTTGTCTCCCAAAGGTTCATGTTTTGGGAGCCTGGTTCCCAGTAAGGTGGATCATGAAAAGGTAGAGGGTCTAGCAGGAGGGAGGGAGGTGGGGATGGGAGGCTTGCATGGGTAATACTGTCTCTTGAAGTTCTAGGCCTTGTGGGACTACATTGGTATTACAAGAGTGGGCTGTTAGCCCACTGACTTCTTACCTTATCATGTGATCTTTTCCACATGTCCTACCACTATTATCATCATGCACCATCATCCACCATCATCCACCATCATCCATCCATCTCAGCACAGCCAGGCAGACCAAAGCTGTTTTCAAATCTCTGGGGATGTGATTTACATACATAAACCTTTTATCAAGTACTGGTCTCGGGTGTTTTGTTATATAACACAAAGCAGATTACCATAACTGATAGTAGAGTCAGAGGGAGCTCTCCCTAGAGGCCACCAGCCCTTCCAGATCAATTGTCTCCAGTCTTGGCAAAAACATACCCCTAAAATATGTATCTGTATTTTTAAATTATACACTAAAGGCTGAACCATCTGAAACAACCAAATATCAGCAATTCCATGTGGTTCACTTAATGTGTATAAACCTATGCTAATGGAATACACAGAGAGCACACATATTAAAGGGAATTAAATGAGTTAAACTATGTACCAATCAACATATAAAAATGTCCAATATCACATATTACTAAAGACATGCAAATCAAATCTGCATCTTACTCATTAGGGTGGTTATAATCAAGGTGTTGCCAAGGAAGTGAAGAAATGAAACTGCTGTCGCCAGGTGTGGTAGTATGCCCAGCACTTAGGAGGCCGAGGCAGGAGGCTCATCATGAGCTCCAAGCCAACCTGGGTTACATAGGAGACTCTGTCTGAAAGTAAAACAACGAAGCCCTTGTGAACTGTTGGTGGCAACAAAAGTGATGCAGCTACTGAGGAAAAGTAGGAGCTTTCCAAACACACACTTATCCTATGACTGGGCAGCTCCCTTCTGGGAATATATCCAAATGCTTTGAAAACAGGATCTCAGCCTGTTCATGGCTGCTACAGTCATATAAACCAAGAGGGGAGCAGCTGGGGTGCAAGGACAGGTGGATGGAATAACACAGTACGTACAAAGGAGCACCCTCCTAAAAAGGCAAAGCCTACCAGAAAGGTGATGCATGCTTGTAATCCCAGCACTGAGTGGGCTGAGGCAGGAGGATCACAACTTTGAGATGTCCTTGAGCTCCACAGTAAGTACCAGGTCAGCTTGGGTTCTATCATGAAATCCTGTCTCAAAACCAAACAGTTAAACCTCAAAATGATCTTTTGGGGGGGGGGCTCCTTTTTGAGACAGTGTCTCCCTGTAGCCATAGCTGGCCTTGATCTCAAAGATCCATCTGCTTCTGCCTCCCAAGTAATGGGATTAAAGCCGTGTACCACCACTCATGGCTCAAAACGCATTTTTTTTAAAAAATGTGAGTATATAGCTTTGAGGAAAGATTAAATAAAATGTGCTGTGTAATAGGGCAGATAGAATAATAGGTCAGAAACTACCATAGTTCTAATATTTCCATCTTGAAAGATACCATCAAGGCCAACACCCAGCAAAGCTCAACACCCTAGCCTTCCCCAAACCCACAATGAAACCCCCTCCAGCCTGGTTTAAGCATTCACAGAAAGGACTTTACCCACTTTTCCAATGAAGCTTTATTCATAGACAGAAGTTTTGGTTTTACAACAAAGCTCCTTCTCCACAGTACACTTCCCTACTGGCTACAGCTCCATCTTCATTCAAGTCTCAAAGCAAGTTTTCAGAAGTTACTGCCTGGCAGCAAGTCTGGCAGCAGTTACAGTTTTTTAAGGAAGCCAGAGCTAAGTACCCACGCCAGGCCAGCAGTGGTAATGATTTGGCCAGCTCCCTCTTCCCCTGACAGGGAAGAGCCAGTATTCGAACCACCTGTGACCCAGGTCTTGTGCAACTGGAACCTCAGCTGATGGTGGGTGGTGTGGACTCAGCAGTGTCCCTCCTTCCCATTACTTTCCCAGTGGCAGGATGTATAAAGCCAGAATTCTAAACTCCCTTGTGGTATCCCTACTCCACCTGCTGAAAGAGCCAACCAAGGACAGTCCTGTCAGCCATAGCTGCTCAGAAGTCAGGCACTGGCCTGAATGAACTGCAGCTCATCTGTGCAGGGCACCATCTGAGGCACTAAACACCCTGTGAGGTAGGTTCTATTACTCTCCCCACTTTATAGAGGAAATAGGCTCAAGGGGGAAGCCATAGGCTTGTCTAATGTCTCACTACTAAGTGGAAGTAACGATGGGGCTCTGTTAGAGGGCCACTTGCCCTGAGCTTACCAGTACCCCTACATTGCCACTTAGGAAATAGGACATTTTTAGAAATTAAGAAATGGGGTCAGGCATGGTGGTATATCCCTTTAATCTCCGCACTTGGGAGGCAGAGGCAGGTGGATCTCTGTAAATTCAAGGCCAGCATGGTCTACATACAGTTCCAGGCCAGCTGGGGCTACAGGGAGACCCTGTCTCAAGAAAACCAAACCAAACCAAACCGACCAAAATTTAAGAGATGGGGAATAAATGTATCCTTCAGTGGCCTTAAGACTTTAACCTCAGAGCACAAGTGCAGGGGGCATCAACGGTCAAAAAGCCCAGCTCTGATGATTGTTGGCAAGTGGGCACAGCTGAGCACAGGAGGATAGCAGATTGTGATGCAGAGGGCAGTCCTGTACAACAGGAGGAAAAGACGTGGCACAAGAAGAGACTTTCACACAGCCAGAATTGGCAAGGGAGCTAAAGAACACCAATGGCCAATGACCACTCCCAGGGAAAGAGACATTACCCTGGTAAACAGCAGAGCTTGGTGACCCCAGATTTGACAGTGGGGAGTAACAGTCTGAGACAGTCCCTTGACACCTTCCCTGTACCTGCACTCACATAACCCACCTGTTATTTCCAGAGTCTACAAAGTGCAACTAGCAAAACCATGGGGGTAAGGGGGAAGCATTACTCAGAAACAGGGCAGCACTGTGGTGGAGCATGATCTCTAGAGCTCTGACCCTGTCCGCCAGGCTACCTCCTGCCCTGCTTGCCCCAGGAGAACCAGCCAGGGCTCCCTGCCCCTACTTCCCACTTGCCTGCTCCTTCTCACTCCCTTTTACCCTAGGCCTCTCTTGTTTCTCTGGTGCCCTGGGCCAGGTCATCAGGCCAGTACTGGTCCTCCATATACTGTTCCATGTCAGTGCTGCTATCAGGCCCCCTGTCCTCGGGGTGGTCCCAAGGGCTGCTGGCCTCTTGCTGTTCCCACTGCACCTCCACCAGCCGGTAGAGCTCCATAGATGTTGCGGCATCTTCCACAGATGAGTGTCCCTGCTGGCCCACCTGTGGAGAGGAGCCAAACATGTCATATAACTACCCCGTGAGATGGCCTATCCATCACCCTAAAAGCAAGGCCTACCTCCCAGGGCTCTACACACAGGCTCAATAAACACACACCCCAGAATGAAGGCTATTATGATTCAGATACAAGAGTATCCCAAAGGCTTAGGTGTTGTGGGACTGTTCCCTAGTTGATGGAGCTCATTTGAAAGGAACCAGGAACTCTGAAAGGGGACTTGACTGAAATAAGTGTATTGCAAGGGTCAGCCTCCTGGGAGTACTTTGCCTGTCTCTTTCTTTGCTTCCTCTCCACCATGAGGTATACAGCTCTCTACATGCTACCACCATGACGTTTTACCTGAGCACATGGACTGAACCCTCTGAAAGTATGAGTCAAAATAATCCTTCCTCTATACTGTTTATGTCATGCATGTGGTGTACTTACAAACATGCAGACAAAACACTCATACACATAAAATTAAAAAAGAAAAAAAAAGTAAAAAAGCAGGGGCTAGAAAGATGGCTCAGCAGGTAAGAAAACTAGCTGTTCTTATAGAGGACCAGGTTTAGTTCCCAGGACCCACACGGTGGCTCACAACCACCTGTTAACTCCAGTTCCAGGGGATCCGATGGCCTCTCTGGCTTCCAAAGGCACCACATTTACATACATGTAGGCCAGTCATACACAAAAAATTACAAATTAAATTGTTCTATGTCAAGTATTCTGTCATAGAGACAATAAGACACTAACACAGAAATGCAGAGAAAGGATGGAGCCGGGGACAGACACAGGCCACCCAGCTTCTGTAAACCTGTTTTCCTTGAATATAAGGTATGCAAAAAAATTTCCTGGTTGGGGCTGGAGAGTTGGCTCAGAAGTTAGGAGCACTGACTGCTGTTACAAAGGACCTGGGTTTGATTCCCAGCACCCACATGGTGGCTAACAATCATCCTAACTCCAGTTCTAGATCTGATGCCCTCTTCTGACCTCCAAAGGCACTGCACGATGAGGGTACACTTACACACATGCAGGCAATACACTACTCGCACACTAAAAATAAAATATTTTTTAAAATTTCCTGCTTTGGAGGCTAGAAGACTAGATGGATGACAAAGCACAGCAGGGTGTCACAAGCCCCTTGATCAAAGGCTCTAGATGTGGTGTGGGTGTCAGAATACAATCTACGGGGATACAGGACATAGCCAGGAGTCAGGTGTGAAAAGACTTAAAGAGATGTGCCTGGAAGAATGCAGCTGTCACTGGGGAATGTACACAGGGAAGGAGGTAGAAACATCTGCTGCTTGTTCAGGAAGAAGACTCCTCCTTCATGCATGGTGGCTTGGGCCAGGGAAAGAATAGTGAACAAGAGCCCACAACACCAGCCTTATCCACAGCCCAATGGGCATGGAGGTCAGTTGGGCCTCCCTCCCTTCCACCACTTCTGCACCACGCACCTGGATCTTCTTGTTCAGCAGCTGCAGGGCCAGGTCCTTAAGAGAGACCCGGGCTCGGATGTGGAGGCCGGGTTGGCTAAGCAGGTTTGGGACGTAAGTGGTATCCCGGGTCTGGCTCCGAGGGTGGACGTACTTGAGAGCCTGGAAGTCATTGTGCAGTGCATGCCCCACCACCACCTTGCCCTTCAGGAGCTTAAGGATCTGAGAGCGGAGAGAAGAGGCAGGAAGGCCCTATTGTCAGATAGGAGTCATACCTGAGCTCCCTATTATTGGTATATGGACCTCTCTAAACAGCAGAGGAAGGGAGACCCATGAATTCCAGCCAACCATGCTGCCCCATGTTAGAATCCAAGACCTTCTTAACACCTGTAAAAGGGGACACTACCTACCTATAGCAATTTAGGGGGCAGGTGTGATGGTCAAGGGAAGCCATGTGTGGAAGGAGTATTCCAGTCACCAAATAAAATCAGTTTTGGACCAGCATAGGCACTGCTTGGTCTGAAGACCTTCTCAAGCCTGAGCTCCAACCAGGATGCAAGGAACCCCTCCCTCACTGTAAGCTCCATTTGACTTGACCAGTGGTGGTGTTCCATCTAGAGCACAGCATTTGATGATTTACTTTTGTTTATTGGGTTGCTTTTTTGAGACAGGGCTTACTCTGCAGCCCAGGTTGGAATTCATAGCAATCTTCCTACCTTAGCCTCACAAGTGCTGAGATTACGGTCCTGAGCCTCCACACCCAACTTATTTTCTAATCAATAAAGACCTGCTGGGTAAAAGCAACAGAACCATGGTGCTAACAGACACACAATAAGCAGAGCCCCTTGCTAGTATTAAAGAACACAGTTCCTTACCCCTGTGTAGACTCCTTTCTACCCTCTAAAACTGCTTTGCTGTGGCTGTTGTTTAGGCCACCTGTACAATGTGTTCCATCTCTTCCTGCCTGATGCCCTCCTAATGCTCAGGGAAACAAGAGCCAAAGGCCCATCAACTCCAGCCTGCTGCTGGCCTTCCACAGCCTAACTCTGCTGCCATGGAACCCAGCTTCTGTGGCAGATGGACAGATGCATTTAGAGTCTAGGCCACCACCCATCTCATACTCCACCTTCCAACAAGTAGGAAGAGACCAAACCTACCCCATACTAGCTCAAGTGAAGAGACAGAAAACGAGTCTGTTCCTGAGACCACTACCAACCACATGAGTGGACAGAAAGGACCAAAGAGTTGGAGGACTCACCACAGACCCACCTTCCTACTGCTTCTATTCTTAATCAAACCTTTCCAAAGCAATGTTGAGGCTGTCAGGATAGACACCAGATGAGGTGTATTAGTTATTTCCCAAACTTGCTGATCTCAGTAACCCAGAAACATTAAAAAGTAGTTCTGTTCTACTGCTTGTTTTGAAAATGCAAATTTTTTCAGTGTAGTTGATAGGATACAAATTCAGAATGTGATGATTTCCTTTGCTTATGGACAATTTTATACCTGAAGAAATACTGCACAGATGCAGAAAACTGCAGCCAGCTGACTAGAGCTAAGTAAGAACACACAATGTGCACACCTCTCATCTCCCAGCAACCTCTGTTTGCCTGGGTGCTGAGCTACACTAGCATAATCTAGTAGTGCCACACTCAGAGAAACTGTCGCCACTGCAATAGCCCCAGGAGCATCCTCCTGCTCCTGGCTTCCATGAGCAAACTTCAGGCCTTTCCCAGTCAAGAGCCTGTTTACTGGTGTATCATGCATCTCTTCACCATTTAATATATGAAAAATTATAATGCCATATTTCATTAGGTTTCTTTTTGTTTCTGTGGTGGCACAGATTGAGTCTTCCGAGTGTTGTATATCTGCACACTATTTCCTTGTAAAAACCCTGTGGTTCAGAAGGCCAGGAGTCAGTAGGCAGTTGAGTGAGGGGGCAGATTCCTAAGGTAGGGACTGTGAACCTTAAAACTGGTACGAGCATCCCCTTACTAGTACTAGGGATGGTTCTGTTTATTTTATCCAACAGGTGACTAAACCTTGTGGTTTATGTATGGTGCAAATTTTCCCAGTCATGATTTTAAGACAGACAGACACAGACACACACACACACACACACACACACACACACACACACACACACACACGTCAAGCTTGGAGAGCTTGGAGAGCTACAGGATCAGAGCAAGGATCCTAGTTCATAACACTTAATTGTTTTCTATGGTCAAATGCCTTTAAGGGGTCCTAGTACATTAGTGGGGACCCAACCACTAATTAATTTTTTCCTCTAAAACACTAAAAAACATAATAGGAAACAATAGCCCCTGAACATGACAAGACTATGGGCTGTGCAAATTTTACACAGACACCAAACATTTTGTTGTTGTGCCCTTACCATTACTGTTATTTAATGTTTCTATGAACATTACCCTGCCTAACAGCCTGGCAAGTCTTTACAGAGGGAGCCCCATGATTCATATTCATCCTATTTTCCTGAAAAGCAATCGTATGTTTAGAGAACTGAAGCAACTTTCTCAAAGCTGCTCACCCCCCAGTGGCAAAGTGGTGACTCAAACTCAGGGCTGCTTTTCTCTCCCCAGCCTATTCTGAAGGCCCAAACAAGAACCCAGTCCAACCCAGTCCTTACCTCCTTCTGGGCTACTTGGAAGGGGATGGCCTTGCGCATGTGCTGCTGGGTAATGCCGCTCCAGCGGGTGCGGTAGTCCACAATGGGCATCTCAGGCCGGATGTACTTGTCATAGAGGACATCACCATTGTAACTTACCACAGAGCATCGGGCCAGCTCACTCACCCGCCCTCGGGGGCCAGTGCCCACCATCTCACAGTCGATAGCCACACAATTGCTGGGCCCAGGCACTGGGGCTTCTCTGGGGACATGTTTTTTTTTGCATAGTCCACGGCTACCAGATCCAGCCTTGGGATGCTGCCTTTTGCTGCCTGAAGCCTCTATGCCTGCTGGCACCTGTGATGGGGAGGGTAACGGGCAGGATCCCGGCCCTGGTGCCATGTTCAACAGTCCCTGTTCCTGCAGCAAGGCCTTGCGGGCCATGAACCGCTCATGCTGTCGGCTCGTCCTCTTGTGTCTTCTCCGAACCACATCCTTGGCATCCTTGGCATTCAGGCTGGTAAGGGATGGATACTGAGTAGACTCAGGGGCTTCCCCCAGCACCATGCCAGGCAGCTTGCTACTGGGAGCAAGAGAAGCCCTGGAGGCTGTCTTCCAACGGGGCAGTGTGCTGGAGAGAGAACACATGTGAAAAAGGGCTGGGAGGAGGGTGCCAGGCTGCCCTGTCTCTCACCCTGTGGCATTCCAAAGCTCAAACACCCGAGACTCAGAAATCTTTATTAAGAACTGTACTAGAGCCATGTATGTCATACACAACTCCTGTAAATCCCCTCTGCAACTGCTACATGCAATCACTCCACCTCCTCATTAACCCCACAAAGTATTACCACCCTTATTTTACAAGAAAGAAACCCAGGTACAGAAGTTGAGTAACCTGGCCAATTACTAAGGGATAAAAGCTGGTAAGAACCTTAGAGTCCCCTGTTCTGAACCTCAAGCTCCAAACATGACAGGATTCAAGACTGTTATAAGGATGGCCACAGGAAAACAAAAGTTCCAGAACCAGTATTCCCACTGAACATTCCTAATCTAAAAACCCAGAATATGTAAAGCTCTGAAATCTGATGCAGGGTCAGCACAGGGCAGAGCAGGGTTTAACCTGGGTCTTAATAAACTGCTGTGTTCTAGTATCTGGCATGCATACATCTTACACACAGTAGAGCTCAATGGTCATTTGCTCCTTTCCCCAGAGAGGCAAATTCTCCTGCCTATATTGGGTGGTCAACTATCCTTAGGCCAGAGTTGCCTCTGTCTGAACTCACTGCTCTTCCCAACCCACAGCCCTCCAACCTTTACAGACTCAGCTGCTGCTCTGCACCAGCCAGAAGCCTTTCTAAAACCCCAGGATCTCTCCAGTCTGAGGCTTTTTGAGGTCTCACATGTGCCCGAGGCTGGACAGTTACAAAGATGGATCCTGGACTCTGAAGCCGATGGTGTCGGGAGCTGGTTAGAGGTGCAAGGACACAAGACAAAGAGTCTTCAGGATGATTCCTAGGAGTCACTTCAGTGTACATGCGGAACAGTAACCCTGCAGGGAGGAGGGAGTGGGCAGTGGAGACACCAGAGGAAAAAGTGTGACAGAGGAGTACCCCAGGGCTGAGCAGAGGGGCCATCAGCAGCCTGATGTCGCTGGCTATAAAGTAGAAGACAGATCATGACTGGTGATGCTGCTTACTCCTTTTTCCCACTTCATCTTCTGCCACTGACTTTGGTGGTCCTTCCACAAGCCACCCCTTCCAGGATGGTGTCTAAGAGCCCTAGAGACATCTAGGAAGGTGACTAAAGTGTGGCCCAGTAGCTCTGATCTAGGACATTAACTGTCTTAGGAGAACAAAGGGAATCACCTTGTGTGACAACACAGAGAATTTTGCACTCCTCAGTCAGCAGGTACAGTCTTCTCAGGGCTCTCTGAAGGCAGCTACAGAGCCCACTGTGTCTGTCCCTCTTAACAGCTAGCCCGGAAGCTGACCCATGGCAGGCCCTCTTCAGAAGCCTAAGCGGGCCTACCACTGGCCAGTCAGTGAGGACTACAGAGCTAGAGTTCAGTGCTGCCTGGCTTGGTGGCAAGAGAGGCAGGGAAAGTTAGAAGGGCATGCTCAGTGAGCAAAATGGGACTAGCAAGAAGGGCACCTGAGAGCAGGAACAGGCACCAGAAGAGGCAAAAACACTGGGCTACGGAGGGTTTGGCAGTGGGGAGGTACTGCAGAGTTTCAGATGGGTGGACCAGGCAGCCCAGGGAAGGAAGGGCATTCAGAAAAAGAAACGGCAGGCACTAAGCCAGGAGCTTGGGGGAGGGCAAAGACTGGCACAGCAGCTAGGTGGCAAGGGATGCGGAGATAGGTGGTACAGGGATGGTGAAGGCCAACACTGTTCCTTGAAGGGATACAAGGGTGGGCTCAATCAGAGAGAGATGGGGAGCCACTGGAGGGCTTGAGCTTTAGGAAGGCAGTGGAGCATCACAGCTGCCTTACATGAAGTAGTCCCGATTAGACTAAGGAACAAAACGGTAGCAGAAGACTGCCAGAATAGGAAGGGGGTAAGAGTGAGGCAAAGTCCCATTTTCTGAAGCCACCACCTGCATGAGCACTTGGGGCCCTCTGAACCAGGGGGAGGCTCCAGGACCCAGGCTGACTCACTCACTCTAGGCTTGCTCATCCCTTTTCCAAGCAGCAGCCCCGCTTTTAAAAAGCTGTCAGCAACTTCTTCATATTCACAAACCTCATCTCAGAACTGACAAACTCGGAATACCAATTTGTCTTGGTCCACTAATGGCAGAAAACCTGGCAGAGAAGAGCTCATGCCCGCCTTGATGATCATCTTGAGGTTGGGAGAGCCCTTTCTTGATAGCTATACCATGGGGAGTTGAGGTCAAGGCTGGAGTGGGATGGGGAGCTTTCCTGACCCTTCTGACAAGGCTTTAAAGAAACCAAAATTAGGTTCCCCCAGAAAAGATCTCTGTGTCCTTGTTATTTGAAGAGATAAAAGCAGCCATTTCCTATAATCTCTTGACCTGCTGACATGTCAGAACCAACAATTACCAAGCTCACCTACTTCCCCAGCTCCGGGTACCAGATGGGGCTTAATTTAGCTGGAGGGAAGTGCTTGGAGGACACAACTCTTTCACCAAGAACAAGTACAGATCATTCCGCAGTCTGAAACCGGAAATCAGTATAGAAGGCACTGGGCCTTCACGTGGGGGTCCCTGGCCTAAGAGAAGGACGACAGATGCAAACGCCGCCAAGAAATTGCAAAGCCAGAATCGTCCGCTGGCCGATCACGTTGGCAGTGGGCAGTTCCAGGCCCTGCTCTGGCCTGAAATGACCTCAGGAAGTCAACGGTCCCTTCACTTTCAACTGCAGGCTTGAATGGGCAGCCCATGGTAGAAGTGGTTGAGGGGTAGGGTCCAAGAATCTTTTTTTTTTTTAAAGTGCCCCCCCCCTCAAGCCACTATTTGGATAATAGCCCCAATTTGAGACAGCCCAGGGCAATAAGATTCCCGATACTTCTCAAAAGTTCAGCGGACCAGAATTTTTAAAAGTCGGAGTAGAACCCGGCACTCCCTGCGGGCCTCGTCTGCCTGCTTCGCAGTGAGACGCCAGGCCTGGCCTTCCCAGAAAGACGCGGGCGTAGTTCCGCTCCGGCCGATTGGCCGAGGTTTGTGGCCGGCTCCCCCCTCCGACCCCCCGACTCGGGAGCCGGGCTGGGACCGCGTGAGGCCGCATGTTGGGCTGGGCTGCACAGCCACCCACCCCGAGAGCCGCGCGGAGGCCGACCGCGGGGCCCGGTGGCCCGAGGGTCACGCGGCGGCCCAACCGCCCCACAGGCCCGCAGCAGGTCCCCGAGCTCACCTGAAGCCCCCGGCGGCTCCCCGGCCTACACGTGGAAGCCCACCTCAGCAGCTGCGTGCCCGGGCTAGTCCGGCTCTGGCTGCCCGCCGATTGGCTCGCTGGACTTAGGCGCCCGCCTTAAGGACTCTTCTGATTCGTCGAGCCTGCCGCGGCGGGTAGGCGTGCCAGAGGCGAGGCCCATGAAGGGGCGTGGCCTATGTGGCGAGAGGGCGGGGCTGGGAGTTTAGGAAGACCCGGTCTTCATTCAAAGACCAATAAAGCTCAGAGCACTCCTGCGTCTTCCAGAGGCGGACTACAGCCCCTCCCTCCCTAGGGGTTCTGAGAATCCTAGTAAGCCATGAACATTAGTATTGAAAAAGTCAAGTTCACTTCGTGTGCACTGCTTTTTCATTATTTATTTATTTTTGGTTTTTTGGGCAGGATCTCAGGTAGCCCAGGCTGGCCTCAGATTTGCTAGGTAGCTAAGAATGAATTTGAACTCTTGATCCTCTTGCCTCCAACACCTGAGTGTTGGGATTACAACTTTTCCCCACCACAGCCAGCTCTTTTATTCCTTTGAGATAATTTACTCAAATACTCCTTTCCCTCTGAAAATTTGAAAATTTCTAAAATTAGGATCAGAGCTGGGCGTGGTGGCACATGGGAGGGAGAGGCAGAGGCAGGCGGATCTCTGCGAGATCGAGGCCAGCCTGTTCTAAGACCAGCTGGGGCATTACGGAGACCCTGTCTCAACCACTCCGCTCCCCTCAAAAAAAATTCAGTGCCAGAAAGTTGGCTCACTGGGCAAAAGCACTTAATAGTACTAGCCTGAGATTCTTTGATCCCCTGACCTCTGTAAAAAGCCAGATGCAATGGTGTGCATCTGTAATTCCAGCACTTCCACAGTGAAATTGTAGACAGAGACAGGAGAATCCACCTGAAGCGCTCTGGTCAGCTAGGGCCAGCTGGGGCCAGCGAGCCTGCAGAGTAGAGGCAGAAACAAGAGACCCTATCTCAACAAGGTGGAAAGCCAGAAATCTGAAAAAAGTCCTCTGACCCACACATGTGGGCCGTGGTGCCACCACACTCTCACGCACATACACAAACACAAAATACATTTGTAAAAGCTAATTTTAGGAAACAAAAGCGAGGGAGGGCTCACAGTTCCAGGGGTGAACTTACTACTATTATTCTGCTAAATGGACATAGTATCAAACTTCCCTCTAAAATTCAATCCCTATACTTACTCATAGATTAGCGCAGCTCAGTCCTCATGAGAGAATCTTCATTGTGCAGCGGACAGAGGTTAATGCAGAAACTTGCAACTAGTCAGAGTGCAAAGAATAGGTCTGTGGAGTGTTCGACCATAAATGGGCTATCTCTATCATGTCCATATCCCAACAAGGCTAGGTGACCATCATAGAAGAGACCATCATTACAATCAGAGAGATTGTAAGAACTAGGGGTCAGGAAGAACCAGAGCAAAGCTGTGTCTTCTGGACATGACAGGACTGCTGCATTCAAGAATTCCAGCAGCTGTGGTTTCCTGTTCAAGATCAAGCCAGTCAGCATCCCAGCATGAATTCAGGAGTGACTCACAAGACTCCTCTAGCTGAGGAGCTCCTGACAGCAGATGACTGCTAGAGGAGTCATCTTCCTTTAAGGGTGTGGCCCTCTATAGGTTGGTCATGCTCCAGTTGATGGTCCCACACCTTGGGAATATGGGTAGCACTAATTAGATTCAGGGGGTTATAAACATTTTTAAAAAGGACTTTGAAGTTAGGAGATGGGGTAGGGAGTGGGTGGTAGATCTAGGAGGAATTAGGGGGAGGAATTTGGGGGTGAATATGATCAAAATACATTTTATGCATGTATGAAATTCTCAAAGAATTAGTAAAATATTAAAAATTAAAATTTAAAAGGAAAACTAAAATTTGTGTATATCATTTGTACAAAACAACGGGTTTCATTGACATGCTCCTTCCTATAGAAAATGTACTTCATCCCCTTCTGCATTCACTCCTGTCCTTCTGTCCTCTTGCTGGTGTCCCCTTCTCTCAAATAATCTCCTCTTCCTCATATATTATTATTATTATTAGAAGGAATCCAGGCTGCTCAGGCTTTGAGTGGGTAAGAATTCTGGGACCTTGGGGAGGTACAAAGCTTAACCAAAGTTGGGTTAACAAGCTATTTGTTCCAGTTGATCTGTGGGCCAAGGAGTCCAGTGAATCACCAAGGAAGCAAAGAATGCAAATGTGAAATGTCTATTGTCCCCTCAGAGACCAGAATTTTTTTATTGTTATATGAGGAGAGGTGTTGCTTTACAGTAACCCATTTCCAGAAGTCAAAAAGGTGGAAGGGGGTCCTTAACAATTTCTGTTTTCTTCAAGACTGGCATGGAAGTAAAAATCAACATTTTTCTTTCAAAGCTTTTTTTTTTTTTTTTAAACAGGTACTTTAAAATGGATAATGTGCTGGGTGTGGTGGTACACACCTTTAATCCCAGGACTTGAGAGGCAGAAACAGGCAGATCCCTATGAGTTTGAGGCCAGCCTGGTATACCTAGCCAGTTCTAAGCCAGCTAGAGCTATGTAGTGAGACCCTGCCTCAAAAAACAAACAAACAAAAAAAATGCTGGGTAGTGGTGGTGGATGCCCCTCATCTCAGCACTTGGCAGGTGAGATGTGCTGGATAGCTTTAATTGTCAATTTGACACACCTAGTTAGAGGGAACCTCAACTGAGGAATTTTCTCCATTGGATTGGCCTGTGGTCATGTCTGTGGAGCATTTTCTAAATTGTTGAATGAAGTGGAAGGACCCAGCCAACTGTGGACCATGCCACCCCTGGGCAGGTGGTCCTCTATTATATAAGAAAGCAGGCTGAGCACAGGCCAGTGGAACAAGTCGGTAAGCAGCGTTCCTCCATGGTCTGTGCTCCAGGTTCCTGCCCTAAGTTCCTACCTTGGCTTCCCTTGATGATGAACTGTGCTGTTAGCCAAATAAACACTTTCCTCCCCATGTTGGTTTGGTCAGTGTTTTTGTCACAACAATAGAAAGAAACTAAAATACAAGGGAAAGAGCATGAGGAATTCAAAGCCATCTTTGGCTATATGGTGAATTTGAGGCCAGGCTAAAAGAAACCTTGTCTCAAAAACAAAACAAAATAAAATGGATAAAGTTAAAATCACATGACTATGATTTGGTTCAGTTCATTTGATAATCTTGGGTTTTGTTAATTTTGATTTTTCCTTTGGCTTTTTGTTTTACTTTGTTTTTGAACATGTATTTATTTTGTATGTGCCTATGTGCGTATTTGTGTGGGTGCTTCAGTACCACACAGTGGGTATGGAGTCAGAGGACAACTTGTGGGAGTTGGTTCTCTCCTTTCACCACATGGGTTTCAGGATTTCACTCAGGTCATCAGGCTTAGCAGAAAGCACCATTACCTACTGAACCATCTCTCCAGCCCTTGTTTTGTTTTTAATAGTTTCATGTAGCCCAGGTTGGCCTTGAACTTGCTATGCAACCAAGGATAACCTTGAATATCTGATCCTCCTGCCTCTACCTCCCCAATGCTGGGATTACAAGTATGTGCCACAATGCACAGTTTATGGGGTGCTGAAGATTGAACCCAGGACTTCCTGCATATTAGATGAGCACTCTACCACATGCACTCAAGTCAGAGGATAGTGTTCTGAAGTCAGTTCTTTCCTTATACCACAAGGGTCCTGAGATTGAACTCAGGTTTTCAGTCATGGCGGGAAGCACCTTTACAGGTTCAGCCATCTCACTGGCCTGAAGAAAGATTTAAGATGTCAATATTTCTGGCACAGCCTTTGTGACTACTTAAATTTATGACAGAAATATTATCAAAGAACAAACAAACAGCAACAACAACAAAAAAGAGGTCCTAGGCATTCAGTCAGGATGGCATCTTGACTGCAGATGGCAGGACCCAATCCCACTTCCTAAGGGAAGCCTCTGAACTCACCTTCCCAGTGGAGTGAAAATGTCTGTCTTCTCCTTCCCCAAAGATCGGAGCTTTTCTGTAACAGAACCCCTTTGATCTGGGGCCTTGCTCAAGCCCCACCTTTAGGAACCCCTTCCCTTCCTTTCCCCCCTTTCAATCAGGAAGCACTTGAGGACCCGGGACTGTAGCTTAGCTGGCAGAGTGGCCTGCCTAGGAAGCCCTGGGTTTGATCCCCAGCAGTGCGTAAACCAGATGTGTGGTGCATATCTGCAATCACAGCGCCTGAGAGGTGGAGGCAAGGGGAGATCAGGAGTTAAAGGTCATCTTCAGCTACATAGCAAGTTTGGGGGGGGGGCGCGGGGACAGGAATCATTGGGGACATGAGACTTGTTCTGTTTCGCTTTTTCAAATTATTATGCACAAAGTTCTGTTCTGCCTGCCATGTGTACCCATTGTGAAAACAACTAGACGGTACTGTGGGGGACCCCTTGATGCTGGATCGAGTGCAGATCTGAAAGGGGATGCTCACCTGGTCAATTTTCAGAGTGGTATCTCTTTAGATGTGGTCCCAGACCAGAAGACATAGGTATTATCTGGGAATTTGTTGGACATACAGAATAAAAGATGAGGAATCTAGCAATTGTGTGTGTGTGTGTGTGTGTGTGTGTGTGTGTGTGTGCACCAATGCAATACTGTAAGTTGATCACCCCAAAGCTGTATGAGGTCATTACCTGGTTCCAGTTTGGGTCTGCCACTCTTTGGCAAGTGTCTTTGGACAAGTCATTCAACATCTCTGAGCTTGTTCCCTGGCAAGCTAAGCAAGAGTGTGAGGTGTGTGTGTGTGTGTTACTGGGGGTGGAACCCAGGGCTTTAGCACATGCTAGGTAAGTACTATACTATTGAGCCACATCCCCACCCAGCAATCTGCCTGGAATCTGACTAGGGGCTTAGCAGTGATTCACAAGTAGGGGCAAGTTCAAGATCCACATGTTAGAGGATAGAAGGGACCTCATGTCAATCATTTACTCACTCGACTCACTTCGGCTTCCCCTTCTAACAGCACTTCTAACCCAACAGTGGCTGGACTTTGGAACTACCAAGGTATATGTCAACCAAGACATTTGTGATACCATTATACTGTCCCCCAACTCCTGAGAATGTCTAAGATTCTTAGGCACAGGTTGGTGTGTTGCACGGTTAATCTTCCATGGGAGGCTGGAGGAATTCCATCTAGGGGAGTTTTATTCTCCACCGTTGCTTTTTCCATTCTAGACAGAAGCTTCTTCACATATCAAATTAATTTTTAATTCAGAAGCTTCTGTTCCGGCTGAACATGCAGAATTTGAAAAATTACCAACATTTGGGTCACCCCCCAAGATTCTGATTTATCAAGGTCTGGGTTGGGGTCTAAATGGGGAAATTTTCGAAACTCCCAGGTCTTGTTGACCGGGTCCACTGAGAACTAAGGCTGAAGAACAGGGAGGCCAGCAGAGGGCGCTGCGGCCCTATGTATTTTGGGAAACGTAAGTATGGACATCCCGCCACTTGGACATAAGTCCTGGATGGGGTAAGAAGCCTTGAAGTGGCTGAGGGTGATCCAGTTGGCCTGACCCTTAAGTGACCCATTTTTTTGTGTTCTGAAGCTCCTGGAATGTCACTTTTCCTTAGGAAGTGAAACATTTTGTCCATTTTTTCAGAGTAACTTGGAGGCAAATTACAATCTCTTTAAACCTTGATTTGTGCCTTTAAAATGAGGAAGGGTAAACTGGGCATGGTGGCGCATGCCTTTAATCCCAGCACTCGGGAGGCAGATCTCTATGAGTTCTAGGCCAGCCTGGTCTACATAGTGAGTTCCAGGACAGCTGGGGCTACAGGGAGACCCTGTCTCAAAAAGACCAGAATTTTTTTTTTTTTTTTTTTAAAAAAAAAAAAAAAAAAAAAAAAAAAAAAAAAAAAGGAAGGGTTTGATCTATTTCCATTCTTTCATTATGCACTGAGCACTTTGAAATAGACAGGGCTACTCTGGAGAAGTGAAAGGTCAATATTTAAATGGGATAAAACCACACAAGAAGTGAAGACCAGTAGAAAGATGTGGCTCTGATTCATTCTGACTTCAGGGCAAAAGACCTGTGATGTCCAATGCTGGTGAGGAAAACTATGAAAGAAGAGGCAAAAGAGACCAAAATGCCTCTGGGGGCAGTGGTGCTTGCCTTTAGCCCCAGCACTTGGGAGGCAGAGACAAAGAAATCTCTGTGAGGTCAGTCTGGTCTACATAATAAGACCCAGTCTCCAAAAAAGAATAGAGACCAAACTGTCATCATGTGTTGTAACACTCCCTCTACCTTATTGTCATAACGACCTACCTAGGTAGATGTGATCAATTCCATTTTACAGTTGAAGCCGCTGAGGCTCAGAGATGGTAAGCAACTGGCTCCAAGTCACACAGCTTGGAAGTAGAGGAGTGAGGATTGAATCTGAGGTACGTTTAATTTCAGTCAGGACTCTCCTCACTCCATCCATATCCACAGGGGCTGTCTTATCCAGCTCTCAGATCAGAGGCATACCCTACTTTCCTTCCTA